CCAGCGCAGTTTTTTTTTTTTTTAAATCAGTGTAGAATTTCTATACTTCTGTGTGTTGACCTGATTGTCACTTTTGTGTGTTAAACACAATCTACTAAATATAGACAACTTAATTTTAATGAAAAATAACAAATGAAAAAATACATAATAATCTATGACAAAAATACTATTATAAACTAGGTACGACAAAGATATCGCTTTCCTCAGCGGACTTTCAAACTAATGTTTTATTGTGAAGATGACTGAGCTGAAGAATGAATGTTGTATCAGCCGCAGGTAATCACACTCGCTCAGTTAATATCTCTCTCATAATACTCTACATAATACACGGCTTTTAATACAGTAATACAGTAAGCTTTCAATGAAGCAACTCAACGTTCCTTCGTTACTAGTTCTAAAGTGATGTTTTCGAATTAGTAACGGAGGCTTGAGCTCATCTGTTAAACTGTCAAACTGAGATTTGAATCTTTGGCGGAAGGAAGTAGTTCTGCACAAAAGAGGGTTTTTAAAGACACTCCGTTGTTGTTTTTCTTATGTATTTCTTACGTGCCGTCGAACTGTTGTATAAACGCAATATCACACGAGGAGACGTGAGACAGCCATATCTCACGTCTACTCGTGTGATATTGCTCATAAATCTTTAATTTATGGAAAATATAATTTTATCAATAACTACAAATCAACATTTGGTCCCAAACTAGCTAATCGCTACTGAGCACCAGCTAAAATGATTCTTAATATTGATAATTATTTAATGTTTATTGCTAAGTCTTCAGAAAGAAAGTCTTACGAAATATAATATGAATTATGTTAGTAGTTACTCACATCGATGTACTGTCACAGTGGCCAGTGCAGGATGTAACTTCTACATCCTCGATGGAAGTGCAACCATTGACATGCAGACGGGTGTTGCTCTTCTCAAGAACACAGTTGCTGCTGATGTTCATCACACCAACACAGTTTCTGGTTTCACCTGAGATATAATAGAGGTATGTAAGCATGTGACTTTTATGAACAATGCTGTATTTTACTGCATGCACTGCATTTTATATGGTGCAAAACACGTTATTTTTAATGTGTTAAATGATCTGCATAAGGCAGACAAACCATTTTAACATTAAAACAAATAGTTTGTCAGTATGTTCAGTGTAAAGAATATCTTACAGATCTGGCAACATCCATCAGTGTCAAATTTTAATGTTTCCTGTAAAGACAGAAATAATAGAACAGAAAACATTATTTAGATATGGTCAAATCTCCAGTTTTCCAAAACATATTGCACATTTTCATACAAAAAAAGTACATATTTTATGTTCTTGAAACAGTACACAAAATTTTCCAATCCAAAGTTCAAACAGTTAACATGGCCATTTATTGTATTAAAAGAATATTCACCCCATTGTGTCATCAGTTACTCAACCTGTATTACTTTCTTTCTAGTATGAAACACAGAAGCTGTTATTTAGAGCAGAATTTCCAAGCTGGTCTTTTTGTACAATGAAAGTGAATGTTGACCATGGCTATCAAACAAGGTTTTTGGGAATAACAACTTAAATTTTGGTCTGTTCCTCACATACTGTAAACAAAGCACAATTTTATTTTTTTCAATTAAATCTGACAGCCCCTGACCCCCCATCCCCTTTCACTGTTTGGAACAACATGAGGGTGAGTAATTGATGACAGAAATTTCCCCCCTCTTTGATATATTAAACAAATCCAACTACAACTTTTGTTTTGTTAAATAAGGAGTGTGATTCTTTGACTGTGTTAATTGCTTTGAGAGCATTGACTTTAGTCTGGAGAAATGTGAAAAAAAAGTAAAGAAAAACTGTAATACATCAAAGCCAAACATCCAAACTTAAGCAGTAGCACAAAGCAACAGTAATACAGAATACAAGCTTACAGTCTTACAATCCTTTGGATTAAAGTCGGGGCATTTTTTTATGCTCTCCACAATCACAAGTGAGTTATTAACTTCATTGCAGGTACCAGTTGTACATTTAAACTTGTACGCCTTGTGAACCTAAACAGAAAGGCAGAGAGGCTATATGAGATTGAAGAACAACTCAGATAATTTATCCGATGAGCTGAAAGAACGAAGAAAACATTGAGAAAATTTGGCGATGTACCTGGAGAGTATGTCTGGTGTTGTCCGGTGCATTATAAATACAACATCTTTGTCTACACATTCCACAGCACTCTCCTTCTTGTTTCACATATTCAAAGCACTTGAAGGGTAAAAAGTTTGTAGTTTAATAATTCATTCCTTTTGACAGACTCATTAAAAAGAACCAGAGCCAGATTCACAAAACATTCAAATCTCCTAAACTCTTATTTTCTTCTTATTTTGTAATTTAAGAATAAAATTAGGAATATTTTGTATTACCAAAAATACTTTTTCTTAAGATTGTTCTTAAGACAAAACTTAAAAAGAATTCAAATTCTTGAAGAGAATGTTTTTTAAAAAGCATTGCAAATAACTTCTTAAAGATATTAGAAATGTAATCTCTTTTTTTTTCTTAAGAAGACTTTGTGAATCCAGCCCTAGTTCTTAGGAATAATTTGGCCATGAATAGGACATAATGGCTCACACTGTGTTTTCTGTTGTGTGCTAGTGAACAAAGCTATATCACCACTGTAGAATCAATTAAGGAAGCCTGTACTGCATCAGAAAATGACATAGAAAACAAGTGTGTCATGTGTGGAGTATAAGCTAGTGATTTTACTTACAGGATTACAGTCATGTGAACTTGAGTAAGTGCACTTCTCAGAGCTCTTCTCAGTCACGAGTGAGCCATCAATTTCACGACAGGTAACATTTCCACATTTGTAAATGTGGACTTCTCCAACCTGACAAAAGACAGACATACTCCATAAGGATTGAAGAACAGCAGATCCATTGTCTGATGAACTAAAAGAATAAAGAAAAGTTAACAAATGTTTACAAATGTACCCGCATCATATATGTGGTGTTGTCTGCCATGTAAGTACAGTTCTTCAGTACACACTTTCCACAGCAGTCTTCTTTTTGTTTCACATATTCAGAGCCCTTGGAGTGCAGAAATAAGTTTACAGTTTCAATAATTCAGTGGTACCTTTATACTGCACTCTCAAATCACAGTCTTTTTAAGTTCTACTTTTGAAAATGCTGAGGAAAGAGCAACAGGTGATGTTAATGAGGAGGTGAGCAGAGAAACATGAACAACCAGTCAGTAAATAAACTGATGTGTCTCACAAAGGTAAAATATACCTGGTTCATTTCAAATCGGATATAATCAAAAACTCGCAGTTTAGTAAGGAAATCTGTAGTGGCCTCAGTTACCGCTCTGAATGATTCATTGGTTGAGTGATTCTGATTCAAACCACTGACTTACCAGTAGGTTCAAGACTCTTTTGTGAATCCTTTTGATTGACTCATTAAAAATAACTCATTCTTAAGAATCATTTGTACATGAATTAGACATAACAGCTCACGCTGGATGTTTGTTTATGCGTGTAGGCAACATTGGTGTGCACTCTAAAGTAATTTGGTAATCAACTAACTTTCAACTAAAACCTGGAATTTTTTTCACATTTGCGACCATTTTTGTCACAGTATGGAGCCGCACAGAGAGTATAGCTAAATGTGAGATATACAGTGACATCAATCCCAATTAAAGTTGTAAGGAGAATCAGGATGAACGTCATTGGTCAGTGAGCCACAATGTCACTAGTAAACAAGAGTGCAACATCACCACTGTAAAATCATCATCATAATACTTCAGAAAGTGACAGCAATACAAAAATACACAGAAAACAAGTGTGTATTGTGTGGAGTTTAAGCTAGTGATTATACGTACAAGTTTACAGTGAAATTGACCCGAGTATGTGCACTTCTCAGAGCTCTTCTCAGTCACAAAGGAGCCGTTAATTTGACGGCAAGTAATAGTTTCACATGTGTAATGGCGGACTTCTCCAACCTAACAAAAAGACAGACAGACTCCATTGAAGAACAGAGCAGATTCACCGTTTGATGAAGTGAATAAAATTATAACAAATACAAGAACATGATCAACTTGATACAAAAATGATCATTTAAAGGTGGGGTAAGCGATTTTTCAAAAACGCTTTAGAAAACTGATTCGGGCCGACTAGCAAAACAAACTTGGAGCCAATCAGCAGTAAGGGGCGTGTCTACTCATGATGTGGAGGAGAGAGGGTTCAGTGCATGGGACGGACATTAGCCGAGCCGAGCGACAGAAAGATAGAGATGGCGGATAAAAAACAAAAGAGGAAAACGTCTGCCGAACAAAAGAAGGCTTAAGGCAATAAGGCAAGAAGTAGGACCCGTGAAAATATCGGATCAGCTTTCCAGCGCTGGAGAGAACTCAAGGAGCGGAGGCCTGCGATCGGACGCCGAGGTTACTTTGTTTCTTCTCAAGAGGTGAGTAACACCGTGTCTACAACAGCTAAAGTCTGCCTACACTGGACGCGATCAAACGACCGTTGAAAACCATTTGAAATTTGTGTCAGCACGTCATAAACAGAACCCGGCAGCAGTTTTCTGTCGGGATTTGTTGCGCCGCGCCGCTCACGTCCGTAGACACGGTGTAACATTGGTTTTGCGTTGTTTCACAGAACTAATCGTTGCCTGGGTTGCGTACGTATGTGTGGGGCAGAGCTATCAAAATAGGGGTGAGACCCTTTTGGGGTAGGGGCGTATTTGTTTTGGTGATTTCAAATGTCAACATTGGCTACCAGAAATCGCTTACCACCTTTAAGGCCTTTGCTTAATTTTAGAGTCTTTCATCTATAGTTAATTAATACAAAAAAATTAACCTAGCAGCTCACCTTGTACTCAGTGTTATTGTACACACAGACATTTTTAGGCACTAAAAAGAAAAAAATAAACAATTTTGGAAATTGCTTATAGAGAAACTTCACCCAAAAATAAAAAGGAGACATGGTGAAGAATGCACTTTTCAATACAACTGTGATGAATGGGTACTGAGGCATTAAAGTTTCAGAAACAATGCAAAAGCACCATGATTGTAACCTTAAAGTGAACTAAACAAGTTATGTGCCATATTCCAAGTCTGATGAAGTCATATGATACCTTTAAAGACATTGTAATTGGTCAAAATGAGTACAACAACAAAACCCCAGCCCACATTCATTTCAACTGCATTGACCAAACTGACCAGTTTCTCCTTTTCACAGTTACATGGGTATGGAATGATATGATGAAAAGTAAATGCTATTTTGCTATGCTATGTGAGCTATTATTTTTAGAAGTTGCAGTTTTGTAGAGGAAAAAAGGATTCATTTAATTTCTTTGTAAAAATTGCTTTCTTGGAAAATACAAAAGGTTTTTGACAAACAGCAATGATATTTGAGTAGGAATCAGTAAGACAATTTGAGACTTACCACAGGAACAGCAACGGTCTTCAGTTATATTTAATGCTAATTCAAATCCCACATCACATTTCTTCATAAGACATTGCTCAAGATCGCAAACTGAATGGGTGAAGAATATTTAAATTAATATCTAATAATAATATATTAATATATTAATATTAACATTGTTATGTGTTTATGACTGTTATTAGGTCAAAGTGGAAGAAATATCGGTCCCACTTTATATTAGGTGGCCTTAACTACTATGTACTTCCATTTAAATGAATCTTTTGATACAATGCACTTATTGTGTCCATACATGTTTTTACATTGTACTTATATTTTAAAAATACCTGCATGTAATTACATCTGTAATTAATTACATTTATAATTACACTATTGACCCATCCCGTACACCTTAACCCACCCTTAAACCTACCCATTACCACCAAACCTGTCCCTAACCTTACCCGTATCCCACCTCAATAGTAGCAGAATTGTTTTGGGTTACACTTTATTTTAAGGTGTCCTTGTTACAGTGTAATTATACATATAAGTACTGAGTAATATTAATTAACTGCATGTACTTATTATATGGTTAGGATTTGGGTTTGGCTTAGGGTTACTTGCATGTAATTATGCATAATTAATTGTTATTATAATAGTAAGTACATGTAACGTGTAACGGACACCTTCAAATAAAGTGTTACCGTGTTTTGCTATACAATATGAACACAATAAGTGCACTACTAATTTTTTGATGTAAGTTTGAAGTAAGTGATTAAGGCCACCTAATATAAACTGGGACCAAAATATCAAGTGGTGTCACGCTCATTTGATGCCTATGACCACACCAGCAGGTTGAATCTAGATCAGCCATTTAAGTTTAAATGTCCTTTAAGTGCTTATGTGTTTTGAAGTCCTTACTGTTCTTACCCATGCAATGTTAGCAATTATTATCAACTTGTACTGTATTCATAGTCACGGCTGAGAATCTTTTGATCAGCAATATCAATGTACACTTATATGTCTATCAGACACATTTTTAAATCTTGAATCAAGAGAATCAATTTATATCAGCTTTCTTTGATTCTTGATAAATTCTTGATAACTTACCACAAGTTGGACAGCAGTTTTTAACAGTTCTATTGTATCCGTCAGCACAGGGGATTTCAGTTAGACACTTTACAGGCTTTTTCAAAGGAATGCCAGAAGTAGTGCAATTATATATGTTACAATCAACTGTCCATGTGTCCCCAGGCTGCAGAAAAAGAAATTAGTTGATGACAGTTAGTTTTTGGTAATTTTAGTTTAAATTGTGAAAATGTGTGATGTCTCTGACTAAAATGAGTTAAGACCCTCTGCTGTTAACAAGAGCCTGCAGCTTTGGTCAAATATAGGGTGGAAAACAGGGAATTGGGGCCCTAGACAACAATTTCAGCTGAGGGGGTCAGAAGCAATAAACACTACCAGGGCCTTGGAAACTCTAGTGACAGCTAAGATGTTTCTAAGCCCATGTTACTGCTGTATCATTGTTTCTCTGTGCAAGACACACTTTAAATTATAGTGACATACCTTTCTAGGTGAATCATCAGGGCCAATGCAATCTACAAAGAGGGAAGAAAAACAACCAAATCAATAATATGGCATCAAGACGCATTAAATTAGCAAATAGAGAAAGTAAATGAAGAAACACTTCTTACCGCAGTAAGATGTACACATATTTGATGTCATATTAACCCGATATTGGCCATCAGGACAATAACAACCTTCCGTTATCATTTGGTTACAATCAATCCTGTGACATTCTTTCTCTGCATACATATCATTGTACCTAGTTGAAAAAAAGTACAATAGAAGTAGAGATTTGTCAATTAGAATGACTACTAAAATGCAGTACATTTTACAGTTACATTGAGTCATTTAGCAGACGCTTTTATCCAAAGCGACGTACAAATGAGATTTTAGAGCATTCAGTATTATAATTTCACTTATTAAATATGATTATTTTATGAATATGAATATGAACTGATGAGATTTATTACGATGTACTGCAGGATTTTTCCACTTTAGGTCCACATGCCTTGTAGATTTTGTGACTGGGACACTTGAATTCTGAGACAGAAAACAATGACAAGATGGCACTTTCAGATACAGTATATAATATCATGATTTAGCAGTAAATATACAAATGTATACACACATTACACATGTCAATGTTACTACAATCGTGTGTGCTTTTGTGAGTGTACCACATAGCCCTTTGAGGACAGGTGAGCTTCTCCAGTCCACACAGATAGACTTTTGACCACATAGCTGTGCATAGGCCTCCACACTAGCACAGGCAACAGACTCATTTCCCATTCTTGATACATCATATACACATGCCTTATAATGGTCCTGATAGGGAACGGCATTATGGCAGCTTTTAAACGAACTGTAAACAAAATACAAAACTGTGAGCCCCCCAAAAATTCAATTTCACTGATTTTAGTAGAGAATGACTAAACAAAAACATGTGAATTGTATTTAACATCATGATGTAATTCTTTTAAGTATCCCTCTCAAACTCTGTTTGTCTTTTGCCTTACTTGCTCGTTATGATTTCACAGACAGTAATGTTTGGAGGGCTAGATGGAGAAGGAGGTGCAGGAGGAGGTGGAGAAAATTCACATCCTGGGGGGACCATCCAAAATTGTGCCATGTGCTCACATGAATTGTCGATTGTTCCATTAGGAAGTCTGCAGTCATTTCTGGTGTTGTTGTCACAATACCCTACAAATTATCGACAGAATCAAACAGAAGCAAAACCCAAACTGTATATTTTCTGTATATTACAGCTGCAATAAATCAGGATGGAAAAGCAATAACCAATATATATTCAGGTGGAGATGCCAGATATAGTTACTACTTCAAAAATAAGTAACAAACACAGTAAGCAACAAAAAATATTTTGTTGTTCTTGCTGAAGGTGGTCTTCTAATTAAAATGAGTTCTATCAACAGTATGCTCCATACGAGACATTGTCATACTGTACATAAACTACAAATTACTTTTCTTTCATTATGTAAAACAGCTCTATTAATCACAATTGCATTTACTGCAGAAAGAGATCTGTACTTACCACACTGTCCTTGTGTATTATCATGGAAGTAGGAGAATGGGAGTCTGATTTTGACATCTAAATCTCCGACTGTAATCTCAGTTTTGATATCAGGGATATTCAGAGTCACTGTCATGCCAGTAGTAGAGATGATGATATTATCGATTACATATGTTGGGTTTTTCTCTTCATCATTAACATAGACCTAAGGGAAATATTTATGATAAAAAATGTATTACATGAACATGCTGAATTTTTTTTTTGTTTTGTTTTAGGGATTTTAGGGAGGTTTTCAAATAGATGTCTACATTCCCTCAGTAACCGCGGGACCTGATTGGATTTCTTGCAGTACAGGATTAAATTTACACTGATTAAATGCACACTGTCACACTGTCAGCATGGGGGATCTAAATTAGGGTAGAACGGTTGGAAAAAAAAAATTTTAAGCAGAGAGCATTTGTACACCAAGTAAAATTCAGCGTGAGTAAGGTACTAGTCCTGTGCAAACCTACTTTTAAATGCTAGAATGTTTTTCAAGAGTGTGAGTTTTGGTAAACAAATTTGTCTGAATAAACTTACATGGATCACTTCATTATTGCTGGTCAGCTTGATTTTGTAGGATTTGTAATACACAATCACATACTCAGGGCAAGCAAGAAGGTCTGTAACATCACAATAGTAGTTTTTAACATGGACACTGATATTGTATCTTGGGATGATTTCTTGGAACAAAACATAAGTGCAGTTTCCTTGGAAAGCATAGTATTGTCCATCAAAGGTTCTGTAATGAGGGTCACCCCAGGTCATGCACAAACCTGTTGGCTCCGAAAACAAGTTAAACAATAGTTAAATATAACGCATTGCCAAAACAACATTATTTTTGATAGCATATTAAAAGATCAATTTGAACAAAATGTCAAAAAACAAAACAAAAAACAATATGATTTAAACTCACATTCACACTCATACTTATAGCAGCAGCCATTGTTATAATACACCTTCACAGGATCAAACCCGTTGTCACATTTATGGTTTGTAGTTATTGGTTCACAATATACAGGTTCCGGGGTGAGTTTTCCATTTTTGCATGTTAACACAGTGCATGCGTCTGTCTGTTATAGAAAAATAGAAGTTCAAAGGCGTTCAATAAAATTGAGTAATAAAGGTTAATAAAGCAGTCATAATTCATTTCAGGCCTTTTTACAGTACAGTAGTACAGTAATAAAAAGTAACTATTATTTTTAAATTATTATTTATACACTGAAATAATAAACACAAATAGTATGTGATGATTGTTTTTAGCTTCTCTTATTACCGTGTGGTTGTCAGATCGATTCTTTTTTACAATATAACAAGAGGAGTTGCAATAAGCAGTATAGCACTCATCCTCTAGAGGGCTGATTGTTGACCCTATAAATACAATCAAAGATTTAAAGAGGAGACAAAAAAAAACAGTTTAAAGTTCAAAACAGCTTAAAAATCATGTCTATTTCAAACTAATTGTAAATCAATCTAAAAAGCAAATTTACATGCACTAAACAGACACAATAATAATAATAACAATTTTTATTATTATTAAAGCAGTACTCACCCACTGGGTAGTTTACATTTTCATATATGCAGAAACATTTGGTAGACATAGATGTTTCTGTTGTTGTAGATGGTGGTGTTATAGTTGTGCTAATTGTTGTAGGAGTTGTGGTTGACACTGTAGTTGTTGTAGAGCTAGCAGTAGATGTTCCTGTTGTTGTAGATGGTGGTGTTACAGTAGTCGTGGTAGTTGTTGTAGGAGTCGTGGTTGACACTGTAGTAGTTGTAGCGCTAGCAGTAGATGTTCCTGTTGTTGTAGATGGTGGTGTTACAGTAGTCGTGGTAGTTGTTGTAGGAGTCGTGGTTGACACTGTAGTAGTTGTAGCGCTAGCAGTAGATGTTCCTGTTGTTGTAGATGGTGGTGTTACAGTAGTCGTGGTAGTTGTTGTAGGAGTCGTGGTTGACACTGTAGTAGTTGTAGCGCTAGCAGTAGATGTTCCTGTTGTTGTAGATGGTGGTGTTACAGTTGTCGTGGTAGTAGTTGTAGGAGTTGGGGTTGACACTGTAGTTGTTGTAAAGCTAGCAGTAGATGTTTCTTTTGTTGTAGATGGTGGTGTTACAGTTGTCGTGGTAGTAGTTGTAGGAGTTGGGGTTGACACTGTAGTTGTTGTAAAGCTAGCAGTAGATGTTTCTGTTGTTGTAGATGGTGGTGTTACAGTAGTAGTGGTAGTTGTTGTAGGAGTCGTGGTTGACACTGTAGTAGTTGTAGCGCTAGCAGTAGATGTTCCTGTTGTTGTAGATGGTGGTGTTACAGTAGTAGTGGTAGTAGTTGTGGGAGTTGTGGTTGACACTGTAGTAGTTGTAGAGCTAGCAGTAGATGTTCCTGTTGTTGTAGATGGTGGTGTTACAGTAGTAGTGGTAGTAGGTATTGTAGGAGTTGTGATTGACACTGTAGTTGTTTTAGAGCTAGCAGTAGATGTTCCTGTTGTTGTAGATGGTGGTGTTACAGTAGTCGTGGTAGTTGTTGTAGGA